TCTCCAGCTTTACCATATTTTTTCTGCAGGTTTTTTCTTTGCCAATTTTGCCCATTACTCAACGTTCAACAGAGCAAGACAAAAAAAGTGACTGCTGTGCGATACTTTTCCCGGGAAAATCTTGATGCTTTGTCATTGACACCAAGAGGTCCCGTCTTCCCATTGGTTCTTGGTTTCAGGAGTCAAGATAATCTCTTGGTGTGACGCTAGTTGTCTACAAACCTTCAGAAGCTAAAACCTCGCATTTGATTTTGAGATGAATACATCCACTTTGAACTCATTTCAGCGATAAGGGTATTACTTAAGCTGTCTGTCGTTTCGCTGTATTGCTTTCAGAAGTTTCTCCAGCTTTACCCTTTTTGCCGCAGGTTTTTTCTTTACCAATTTTTCCCATTACTTAACGTTCAACAGAGCAAGATAAAAAAAAAAAAAGTCTTGATGCACTGTCATTGACGCCACGACATCCCGTCTTCCCATTGGTTCGTGGTTTCAGGAGTCAAGATAATCTCTTGGTGTGGCGTTAGCTGTCTACAAACCTTCAGGAGCTAAAATCTCGCATTTGATTTTGAGAGGAATACATCCACTTTGAGCGAATTTATAGGGTATGTAGATTTGACCGATTTTATTCTACCGCTGTAAGAATTGTTGGCAACTCTGTTAGCATAGATAAAGACTGTCTAGCTAATTGTGACAAACTAGGATATAGTTGATTTCCAATGTTCATAATTTGTATCAAGTCATCAGGACAGCTTATTCCCTTCATGTTTTAGTGTATTATACCACACAAACCCATTGCAACAGATGATTGTCCAGCGTTTTGTCTGATTACAGCAACATTACCTTGACTGTATGTGCTATAATTGTTTTCATAAGGTCAACATTGTGCTGATCAGGACCAGGATTTTTGTGTATACCAGTGCAGAGCTTGTACCTGGTACAATTAATTATGTGAGATGCATTCATTTATTCACTTATTGGCAAATTGCATGAAAAAAACTGCAGTATTTGACATCCTTCTTTGAATGCACACTTGTAGTCCCGTATCTTAAATAGTACCGTTTTCGACTGGGTTTCTTTCTTACTTTTCCTACAATCTTGTAGTTTATTCATTTTCTTACGAATTCTCGCATATTTTCTAAAGTAATGCATTTTGGACAACGTTGGTGTGTTTTTACTTATACAGGTCTAAAGAAAACTTTGTAGCTTTCTGCTTTTAGACGTCCAAATCTTTTCAGAAGTGTTCTCCCTGGTTGACGAGTTCGTCTAAAACCGTGACATTCACATGCATTTGTCAAGTATGTTATATTCCTCAATAACACTTAACACATACATTTGTCAAGTATGTTATATTCCTCAATAACACTTAAGCTTAACATGCTCTCTAATGAGTATAGAGAACTCATCTAATATAGGCTTACACCAACATGAATGTAAAATGCTTACTGTGATTTTAAACGCAATATATATATCTTATTAGACGTTTTGTTCTGTAGTATCACTGAGTATTTTTACGAGTTGTGCCGTATTTTGACGAGCCCGTAGGGCGAGTCAAAATAAAAATAACGAGTAAAAATACTCAGCGATACTACACAACAAAACGTCTAATAAGTTATTTATTATCCAACACGCCAAACTGTTATTTCAGTGCGGGCGAATTTCGCG